ATGAAATTATCTATTAGTTAATTAGATATCTATTAATTAGTATTGTTAATTTCCTTAATTTATATTTTATATTTTATCTAAATTGAGGATGGATCATATTAGTAAGCCAATTAGTTAATACCTCATTAAGGTTCTAGCTTCTGGGTTACATCTACTAAACTGCAGAGACTACATATCTGTCCGGATCGCTCCAAAATATGAAGTTTAACATCAATATCTGTCTAATTGTTTGTTGTTACTCCGTTCGTGCCACTCCTTTCCCCGCGAAGTGGCTCCTTTTTGAGCACATCGTTACTCGTGCGGCCTTCCTCTCTCTCAGCTACATAATGATACTTTTTATCAACTGAATAAGTGAGACTTCCACCAACAGCAACAGGATCTCATGTTTTTGTGGGTTTTTATGTTCACAAGCACATTCCCTCTCACGGATTACTAAACTGCTGTTTTGACAAGTTATCAGACTGTCTAAAAATAGGTCGTTTTTTAGTTTAGTATAACTCTGCTTTTACGTTTCCTATTAACAACATTTAAAAACTGGGGTGTAGTTTATAATCTCCTTTTTAAAGCTGAATTGAAACCGAAACTCAGGGAGGCGGAGTCTTGCTGCTACAGTGTCCCAAATCAGACCTGTTCAAAAGACGCGGATACGCGTCCGTGGACCCCAGAGGGTTAACAACTAGCTTTATAATAAGTTGAAACTGTTTCTTGCTTACTGAGCAACAACAGTCAGACTTTATGTAAGCCATTGACTTTGTTTAAGCCGCTTTAGATTTAAGCATCAAACAGGAACAGAAAGCTGCAAAGATAGTCTGAGAAGGACAATATGAGGAAGTCTGTAAAAGAAAGGGACAGCAGGAACTCTTAAGCAGATTGTTTGGAGAAAAAAAGGAATAACTTCATGTGTGGAGGCAGATAGTGAATTTATTCCTGGCCTCCAAATAGACCAGTTTTAGGTCAGCAACTCCCTCCAACACAGTACTTCAAATCAAAAACCGATATCGATGGGTAAGAAAGTGCAACGCAGAGCAAGTCTACTGGAACAAAGGCCAAAAAGAAAACTTTCCACGCCCTTCCATTTAAACCTGCTGTAGGCTACATCCTTCATCTCCATACGACTCCCTGATGCAGCCTAAAATACTTTAAATAGACACACAAATGTTGGCATTCCCTGATGTTTTTATGTTGTGTGAAGAAGCTGCAGGAAACCACGTCTCCCACCCAGAGCAGGAGCGTTGTCAAACAGTCCGACTAATGAAAATTCACCTCCTCAACTTTTACAGCCCTCAACCAATCCTCCTCCAGGGCTCCAGTTAAATAGGAGCAACATGGGATTTTAACATTCAGCTGGTACTTCTGCTTTGCTGAGTGGTACTTATACCACCCAGTCAGTCACGCCCCATGCCTGTGGCTTTAAATATCCCAAAAACATAATCCTGGGGTTCCTCCACAGACATTATTTGAAGGATCTCGGGTCAAAAGTAAATCACAGATATGAAAAAGGGACTGAAAATCCAGCGGACTGTTATTTGTCTGATTGGTGCCGTGTTGGCGAGCAGCAGCCGGCTTCGGAAACACATGTTTAACTGTGCTGTCCGAAGCCATCATCATTATCATCACCTCCATAATTATCATCACATCACAGCTAGTGTGATAAACGTAGCAAGCCACGAGGAGAGGCGATATTGGAGGAAAATGCACTGATGGAAAAACAAAAGACCTCAAGTCTTCACTGAGTAATGGGCCTCCCCTTCAGCCAAATGATGCCAGCTTACACTTAAAGCATCATTTACATTAGGGCCTGTTATGGGCTATTGGACAGAATGCTTGAAATGGTTCATTAGCGGCAAAATGTTCACATCATCTCCGTTCATGTTGGAAGATACAAATGTAGCAGCATGAGTCAAATTACTTGTAATGTGCGTTACGTGCAAATACTGCCACTGGGGGAGAAACATGCAGCACTTTGTCATATAGCGTGGGGTGTGTATTTAGGGGATTAGCACATAGGGGCAATGTGGCAGAAAAGGGTTTCAGAGGGATATCATTATAGCAGCGGGGGCATGCTGCCACCATCTGGGAAACAGGAGCTCTATCTGCATTCTCCACACTCAGCCGGTTGAGGACTTAAGTGCACCTCCCAACAGACGCTACGCTGTTGTACCGGTTTAAGCTTTAGCAAGCAACCTTACATCCTGCTGCCAAAACAGATTCCCCATCCCTATTCCCTACATGAATAGTAGAGTTGCAAATTAAAAAGCTTTTTGGTGGAAAAGTGAACCCAAACACGCTCTGTGAGGTCAGTAAAACCATTAATAAGCAGATGTGCTTAGTGTGATCTGTGTTATTTATAGGAGCAAATAGCTGTAGCTCTATTTATTTATATACTGCTGTGTTTTAATAGCTGTTCACAAACTGGGTTCTGATTAAAAAAAAAATTTTTTATGTAACAAAAAGGTAAATTTACACAAACATCAGCCTCCAGATTATGATTTTTAAGGCATTTGTTGTGCATTTTATCCTGATTTTAGACAGTTGATAAACATTAGAGTTTACTGCTGGTTGTCTGTGAAGGTTCTCAGTCATCCAGGTCATTGTAGTCTAATGAGCTTTGAAAGAAAAGCGTCTGGACTTCTTTGAGTTGCTTGAAGACATTTCACCTCTCATCCGTGAGGCTTCTTCAGTTCTGAAGACCTTCAAGCAACTCAAAGAAGTCCAGACGCTTTTCTTTCAAAGCTCATTAGACTTTACTGCTGGTTAAATATCATGATTGCAGTAAAACATTAAGATGAAAAAACAGATGCCTAACTTAGAATTTATAGAACTTATCTGGGTCTTGCAGACGTTTCTAAACAAGATTCAAAAGTGATCATTAGTACTAATTACTCCTATTAGCATAATTTTCCATAATTGTTAGAAAAGGCAAAAGCAGCATTCATAAATGGATAAAAACAGCATAATTGTTGCTCTCTTACTCGGTCATGCTTTAATTGGTGTGATTATTCTGACCTGCGACGGTTGGGGCCACAAGTTTCTGATCTATTATTTGTGGATCAGAAAACTTATGATGCAGAGACTGTAGTGGAGTTTATATATGGCTATTTTATTCCCCAAACTCTGTCCAGTAGGGGGCACTGCAGCTACAAGACCAGAGGCAGTGATAACTGTTAGTTTTGGGGTTTAGATAATTAAAGACACTATGAAACTTCATATTTTTAAATACATTTCTTGAACCAGTATGTGCCAAAATGACCTTTTACAGGATTAATGAAAAGCCACCCAGACACCATCGCCCCGTGGCCAGAATATTCCACGTTCAACTTCAGAGAGCCGGGCCGCTCTGTTGGGACTTTAAAAAAAACTGGAGCCGACAAACCTGGCGCTAAAGATTCTTGCATATTTTAGATCATGAACACAGCTTAATTGTATAATTTAGTGATGAACCACTCCTGTAGACACTAATGAATGCTGGGAGACATTTCAGCTGTTCGATTAAGATGTTAAAAAGTTGAACACACAAAGAGATCGGTTTTGCTTTCAGTTCTACTGGGGGTGCTAAAAGCAAGCCATAACTGCAGTTCCCCTTTAAGAAGTCTTGTGTTGATTACCTCTGAAGAAGAAAATTTCTGCAAACAAGTCTAGAAATACAGTTTTAGGACTTTTGTAATAAAGGTGAAAAAATTATTAATTGATCAACAAAAGTTCTAGCACTTTTACAGCATCTCAACAGAACTGAAAGGTACCAACAGCTAAACCAGCAAAGCAGAATTTAACTAGAAATTATGCTTTTTGGGCAAAATTCTACTAATTGAACACATCAGTTCAATCTACAACCCAGAACGGGACCAAAGCAAAAACTTGCCAGACTTCATTTTTGTATTATTTCTGCAGTATTGTTGTTTACAGAAAAGCATGATGAATATTCTAAGTCACACCTGATCTGCTAAGATAGGATTCATATGCTTATTCTAGGACTGGGCATCCATCTATCTACTTCCTTACGCTTATTCGGAGTCGGGTCGCGGGGGCAGTAGCCTAAGTGTAGAGGCCCAGACTTCCCTCTCCCCAGCCACTTGGGCCAGCTCCTCCTGGGGAATCTTAAGGTGTTCCCTGACCAGGTGAGAGACATAGTCCCTCCACCGGGCCCTGGGTCTACCTTTAGGTCTCCTCCCAATTGGGCGTGCCCGGAAAACCTCACCAGGGAGGCGTCAAGGAGGTATCCTGACCAGATGCCCGAGTCACCTCAACTGGCTCCTCTCGATGTGGAGGAGCAGCGGGTCTACTCCGAGCCCCTCCCGGATGACCGAGCTTCTCACCCTATCTCTAAGGGAGAGCCCAGACACCCTACGAAGGAAACTCATTTTGGCCGCTTGTATCCACGATCTCATTCTTTCGGTCACTACCCAACGCTCGTGACCACAGGTGAGGGTAAGAACGTAGATCGACCGGTAAATCGAGAGCTTTGCTTTCTGGCTCAGCTCTCTCTTCACCATGACAGATCGGTACAACGCCCGCATCACTGCAGATGCAGCACCAATCAGCCTTTTGATCTCACGCTCCAGTTTTCCCTCACTCGTGAACAAGACCCCGAGATACTTAAACTGCTCCACTTGGGGCAGGACCTCGTCCCTGACCCGGAGAAGGCATTCTACCCTTTTCTGAATCAAGGGCTGGGCAGTCAATCGAACATGTATCGTTATCGAAATTTCTGACTTATCGAGAATTTTTCCCATGTCAATAAATTAGATAATAAAAAATGAAAAGATGTGTGTAGGTTGGCAACATTCATGTCCCTTTAAGATGCTGTACCATCCTGAGTCATGTAAACATGTGACTCAACCTAATACATGTGACAGCCCTATCTTGCGGACAACTTTTGTTTCTGCGCATTCATGTAGTCATCGTCCAGTTATCGTTATCGAGGTGAAATCATATCGATTTCAGGCCATGTCGTCCAGCTCTAGCCGATTCCCCAAATGTCACTAGAAGTAAAGATGTCATACTTGTTTCCTCTGATTCCTTCCCTTCGGACTGTGGCAAGCCCTTCGTTCACCAGAGACTCGGCGATGTTCTCACCTGTTGTGTCTTCACAAAAATGGCAGAAAAAATGTTTTCACTAGTTTGACATGGTGACATTTCAAAATAAATGTCAATTTTTTGAATACCAAAAAAATGTTCCGCATGCAAATGGCATTTGACCTAATCTGTGACAAAAGGAAAAGAAAAAAAACGCTGAGAGTTCGAGTACCTTTGCCCAGGTAGACCATGCCATACTCCCGGCCCAAGCTAGTCCTGATTTCCACAGTAAAACAAACTTCTTTACCAATTAGCTTCTTTCTCAAAAACTCTCTGGCTTGGAAGGCCCAAGGCTGGAAAATACAGAGATCATAACACAGTTAAAGCAGTTCAATCAAATATTCATCATATTGAAGTCATCAAAGCAGATTTACACTGTCAACGTCAAACTGCTCTAATCTCAGGTGTTTGAAACTAGAAGCAATATTTTATTATTATGGATCAGTGATGCACTGACCAGTGACAATTCCTTTGGGAACCGTGACTTGCTAAAATGTTTTGTCTTTGGTTCAGAGGTTGCGATTGCAACTGAAGTTCAGACTTAAACAAGCACAAGCAATCTCACCTCATCCGGGGTGTCCTTTGTGTCGGGCTGGCCTTGCGCTGCTCGGCGAGCTATGGCCCCGGCTCGCATGTTACTCAGGTTGATCTGACGCTCTGGGGGCGGACCTCCTCGAGGCTGACCGCGAACAATGATGGCACAGCCAGACAAGACCTGGATGAATGAAAACAAAATAAATCGTCTAAGAAAGTCTGATTCTACATTTGAAATCCTGCCTGGTTTCACCAAAGCGTGACACAGTTTCCGTTTCTTCTACTCCCAGATTAGAACACAGGTTTATTTTGTAAGGGGCTGACATACTGAGAAATAGGTAAAAAATAAAATAAAAGAATTACAGAGCCAGAAACAACTTTGCTCTATGTGTCATCATAGTAACATTGTTATTCTAACACTATGGATGATTGTTCCATGTGATTACACAAATGCAAAAAAAAAAAAAAAAAAGATAACCACCACTTGGCGTTTGACAACCAGGGCATTTACACGAATCTGAGCAAACACGTTTTATCTGCAGACTCTTCAGCGTGTCTGCAGGGAGGGAGCATCGCCAGTTGTTGTTGATCTAAGATGTGAGAGAGATTAACTCTTTCTACCAGTCCGACCCCATGTGAGCAAAGTGGGCTTTGGAGATGTGTTGTTCACAAACAGATGAGCAGTGAGAAACAAAAGAAAACAGACACTGACCCCTCTCTGATTACAAAAGAGACTTCAGTTTCTAGTTAAGTAGACAAAAATAGTTTCAAATCATAATCTTACAAATTACACTGTTGTGCTGGGAAAAAGAGCTGATTGAAAGCTCTGTTCCAGTTTTCCTCATGAATGACTGAAGCAAACTGGAGATTTATTCTAAATGCAATTAATCTGAAGGTAACTCATCATTAATGCACCAATCTTACCCTGAAACTCTGTGATTTGTATTTCTGAAATACTACACTAAGGCTAAATTACAAAGGTCAGGTTTGTTTTCCCTACCGCTCTTAAGCCTTGCACTCCACAATGTCTAACATAAACAAGCAAAACATGAAATAAAGTTGTAAAACTATTCTGCATTTCCAGCTTTTACTTGCTGTCCGGAGAAACAAAAGCAGAAAAGATTGTGGACAAAGTACCAAAATTAGAGAAAACTTTTTTTTTGCAGTGATGAGAAATGAGTCCAAGTAGAAACATGTTTGTTGAGGAAACATGAAGATAAAAGATATGACCTGACTGACATCATTTAAATGTCCTTGAGCAAGAAAGCATGCTTCAGTGGAGTATGAAGGTAGAGGACAGAACAATCCACTAAAGCACGACAAACTGCATGTGTGCACAGAAAGTTGATAACCAGTGAAGCTCTATGCGTTTCTATTGGACTCAAACTGCCCCATGAACGAAAAGCAAAAAGTCTAAAGTGTGCGACTAAGGCCAGACTAATGTGAAATTACAGGGGGGCAAAAAAAGTTGTAGCTACGTGTCAGTTTCAACTGGTTGGTTCTGACCAGTTCGGTGAGGGAAATTCCTCCTAAAGAAGACTTTTTAATATTTAACCTGCAAGTATAATCAGAAAAAATATGTCAACAAATAATTTGACCATTTGACCCAGTCATAGTAAACGTCAAGTTGACGGTGAACAAAATTTCTTAAAGCTACATTTTGTAGCGTTAGCTTTTCAGCTAAAACTGCTACATTTGCAGTTTGTAAATAAGATAACGGAGTTCACGTTGCGCTGTTGTGGACAACGAACCTGACAGGCTCGACTCAGACAGTTAACTTTACTCACCGACTTTAAAAGCTCACCGACTTTGGACGCTAATTAGCTAGCAATGTGCTAGCCTTTAGCTGAGAAACTCGCCATCTGTTTTGTTACAAATCACAAGTTTTCAAGTTCAATCAAGCCTCAGATGGTTTGGCAATTAATACACGTTCGTCTCAAAAACAAGTAAATTGTATCCACTTTGTATTTGTCAATGCACTTGTCTTTGTCAAGAAGGTAGTTCACTTGCTTTAAATTATATAAAATCGAAGACAATCTAAAGAAGCTAGCATGCTAACGTTAGCCGGCATGTTGCTGCAAATATAAAGCGAGGAGTGACAGCTGTTATTACTGTAATGACAGCACCGGAATTAAATTGACATTTGTTTATATGGCATTAATTAGGTAGTTATGTGAAGTTATGCGACAGCTCCACGTTATTTCACTCTTCATTAGCCTTAAGCTAACTAGCTGTCTCCCCAGTGAGCTTTCATTCACATGTTAGGATTCATACCATTTTCACAATCCCTCTTTGCAAAGCAGCCGAAACCGGGACTGTCTGAGCTGGAGCCGAAACAGATGCCATGTCCAAAGATTCGAACTGTAACGGGTTTAAATAGGCGTGGGAGCTGGGACTCTAAAGAAGAGTGACTGATCTAATGAAAGCCAAGAGAAAAAGGCTGAACGCCAACCAACACACACGTTATACCGGAAACACACTTTGCCATGCATATACGCACGCACGGAGAAATTTTTCCGGGTCTGAGGAGCAGTATGAATGGTAGTGAACGGAGAGCGCTCGCGACCGCGTAAGCAAATTGAAATAAAGCCTTCCGGAGCACGAGGTACGACACGTCAGCGTAGTGATACCCCGGAGAAAGCTGCCTTCAAGAGAACTGGGAAATATGACGACTTCGGTATTCGTTTGCGCAGGAGCCGACGAATGTAAACAAACACACACACACAAATAATCTATTCATTTTTTAACTGCTTTTATAAGACATTTACTACAGTTGAATTGGTAATTCTAACAATATCAAATTAATTCACAAAAAGTGCATTTGTTTGGAAAGAAAACAGTGCTTGTTTTTCCTGTCTCCAGATACATTTCGCGCGCGCGCAAGCACGCACACACACACACACACACACACACACACACACAGTATTTGTAATAAAAAATCTGAACCAAATATTTAGATTATCGTAATATCAGAGCACAGCAACAGGCACTTGCTATTCTTCCTGTCATTTGGCAAAAATCCGTTTGAATATGTTTTTTCAACTATGATTAACCTTTTTTACTCGAACTTTATCATGAACAAATAAGACAATAGGTACAGAAAACACTATAACTCTTGTGCATCCTGCACATAGAACATGGCAACCAAGCCAGAGATTTATAACATATTACTGATCTGAATATATAAAATACAAATTTTAAAAATATACAGATTCAAAAAACTACTTCACAGACTGGAGAGCACACACTTTTAAGTTTGGTTCTGGCATAACAATATTCATCCCTGTAGATTACACCCTCTTTGTCTCTCTGTGAACATTCTTTAAATTATATCATATTTATTGACTCTTTCCATATATATGCAGTTCTAAACAACTGAGTTGTTAAACTCTGTTTATGTAATTTTAATAATGATGGTAACCAACATGGCTGACTGTCCCTCGTGACTCACTTTTACAGTGTGCATAATAAAATATCACCCCATATACTTTAACACAGTAAATTTAGACCAAGAAATATATTTTCACACACTCTTTCTGTATAAATGTTATTTGTTGTTACTGTCAATTGTTCACATATTTCACAATTTCCAAACAGCATGATTTTAATGTAAAATTATTGGTAATTTTTCAATTCAAACCATCATTTTGCCATTCGCGGCCGAATGTGAAGCGGCTGGGATGAGGATCAGCACCTCCAATTCTGAGACCATGGTTCTCGACCGGAAAAGGGTGGCTTGCCACCTCCGGGTCGGGGGAGAGGTCCTACCTCAAGTGGAGGAGTTTAAGTATCTCGGGGTCTTGTTCACGAGTGAGGGTAGGAGGGATCGGGAGATTGACAGGCGGATTGGTTCGGCGTCTGCAGTGATGCGGACGCTGAGCCGATCTGTCGTGGGGAAGAGGGAGCTGAGCCAGAAAGCCAGGCTCTCGATTTACCGGTCGATCTACGTCCCAATCCTCACCTATGGTCATGAGCTTTGGGTAATGACCGAAAGAACGAGATCGCGGATACGAGCGGCCGAAATGAGTTTCCTCCGTAGGGTGGCCGGGCTCAGCCTTAGAGATAGGGTGAGGAGCTCGGACATTCGGGGGGGACTCGGAGTAGAACCGCTGCTCCTCCGGATCGAAAGGAGTCCGTTGAGGTGGTTTGGGCATCTGGTCAGTATGCCTCCTGGACGCCTCCCCGGGGAGGTGTTTCGGGCATGTCCTGCCGGCAGAAGGCCCCCGGGTCGACCCAGGACACGTTGGAGAGGTTACATCTCCAATCTGGTCCGGGAACGCCTTGGGGTCCTGCCGGAGGAGCTGGTGGACAAGGCCGGGGAGAGGACGGCCTGGAGCTCCCTAATTGGGATGCTGCCCCCGCGACCCGGACCCGGATAAGCGGAGGAAGACGAAGACGAAGACGAAGATTTTGCCATTCCTGCTGTAATCAAGTCAAACCTGCAGATTTTCCCAGAGGCAAAAACATTAGTGTTGTTTATAATTAATATACATTTTAATGCTCTGGAAACCTTACATAATTTATTGATGTGGAAATGACTTGTGGCCCAAAACTTGTGGTACTCCACAATTTTGTTTAAATAATCTCACCTATAAGGTGACAGAGAAGTTAAGAGCCTACCCCAATACTGAAGGCGTACAGTGTTATGCCCCGCTCAGTCTGTCGACGTTGATGTGTACTTGGGCAAGACACTTCACTCGCCTCGCCTGCATGGTGCTGGCTGAAGGGAGCCAGCAGCAGCCTCACCTCTGCCTGTTGCTGGGTGACAGTGCGTGCTGTTGTACCAGATTATGTCAAATAGTTTTGAAGTCTTGCAACACACAAAAGGAAGTTCTAATTCTACTCACCCAGTTAGTTTTCTCAGAACACCCTTTTGAACACCAAGGTAACATTTTGCTTCCTTCAGAAAAGCTTGTTTTGTTTATGAATTACGGCAGAAGCCATTGTTGTTTTGAGATCATTAAATGTGTTTCAAGTCTAAACCGTCTGCTTAAGCAAGTGGTGACTGGCACGTGACAGAGGTTTTGAAGGTTTCATGAGGCTAAGAAATTAAACTTCCTTGCTTCCCATGGGAATGTTGTCTGCATTATCTGTTGTGTTGCACTTTATTCTGTGTTTTTATGGAATAAAAACATTGAGATGATGAACCATTTGAATATCTTTTTTTTGGGGGGGGGGTACATTTTACCTTAAATGAATAGGTAATGTTTATCAACTGATAATAATTAAATTTTATAAGTAATTATCAGGTATTACCAACTAGCAAACAAGAGATAATTTTACCCAATTTCAATGAGTAAATAGCTGTTGAATGTTTACATAAATATTGGGTAACCTTACCCAATTTAATTAAGTATTTCATAGCTTTTTATTGAAGCTATTTTAAACACAATATATTGAAATAAATCTACCACAAAAAAGGCTATGCAAATTGTTACCTCAGATTTATTGGGTAAATTCTGTAGATGAGTTTTTACAGTGATAGCCTAGATGTGATCCAGCACCCGATGAACATGATTTCAGATGTGCATGGTGCTGAGCTTTATTCCGGGAGTTTTTCTAAGAAAAACTGTTTGAACACATAGTGTTTTGTTTAATGCAGAAAAATGTATATTTGAAGATTGCAGTCATTGAACAGTTTTGAGCCATGATCTTTGTTGATGTGCACCAAAAGTAAAAAATAAACTAAATTAATTAAATTGTGCAATCTTAAATTTAGTTGTTTTTCAGACATAAATGTTAAAGTCCAAAGTCACCCAATTTTTGTCTTAGACGGTATTTGTAATGCTTTTGTAAAAATGCAGGCTCACAAAAAGTTTTGATAAAAGGACGAGCAACTCAGTTCTTCAGGGGTCCTTCTGAGTTGAAAAAAATGCTCGTGAAATATGTATGTGGAGTAACCAGGCAGGTAGGTTTTAACGTCGCAAATCTGCAACGCCTGCCTCCAGAGGGTTAAAACAAAGACAAGTGTAAGAGCCTCCACTTTATCAGGTCAGAGAAAGAGCAGAAGAGTAAAAGAGAACACATAGTTTATAAAAAAATGAACAATTATGATGCTAAACAGTCATCAAAAAATTGGAAATTTCAAGTAACCCTAAAAGTTTAACTGAATCAATCCGTTAGAATCAGCTAGAAAGCGGATGTTTGGTCCGTTTAAATCAGCAAAAATCAGCTGTCTGTGTTCATAGAATAGAAGAATACGGACTAAAGGCAAAATTAATTTGTGAAATCCCGTGGACTGGACTGCTTCCTCGAAGCACACGAGGAGCAGGGACGGAGCTCCATTACGCACACGTCGCCTTTGTGCGCTTTGGAGAGGTTTTAGTATCCTTTTACGCGGCCGATTTACTCACATTTCCTCATGTTGTAGAACAAAGTTAATCACATAAATGCACGTATTTACGTGTTTGGTACGAGTCATAAAGATTTAGGACATTTATTGAAAGTTGAATTTGCGCTCTGTGGCGCTAAATGCAACCAACTTCAGACGTTTCCTTCTGTGAAGGCGAAATAAATTTTACGCAACACAAAATGATTTGTGTTGCATAAACAGCGGGCCTCAAGTCGTTTACCTAAATCTGCCATATTCACTGTAATAAAGAAGAATACATTTATGTCATAATCTATGATAATAAACAAAAACGCGTGTCTTTATTTAACCTTTTTCTTGGTTGGCAAGGAGACACAAGTGTCCAAAAGCGGCTGCGCTCCATCCAGTCTGGCTGACTGTACCCGGGCTTTTACTGTCGTGCTGTCCATGGTTAATGTATAATGTGGGACATATGGCATTTTAAAATGCGAGGCTGTATTTCTGTGACACTTGGATGTGTGTGGACCCAACTAATGATGTCCAATTAGTCATTAAACGGGCCAAAAGACGAGCGTCGTGTGGGTTTTCCGCATGAGCTAATATTTGCTTGTCAAATATTTCCCTTGAAACCGTTTACAGCGCATTTTTATCTGCTATCTACCCAAATAACATCTGTGGGGACATTCGCCTCCTTCTTCTGGACAAACCAGGTTCCCCAATTGGTCCTCTTGGTGCGCACATGCGAGTCTATTTGTTCACGTTTTCAAAGAAAATGTAATAAAGATAGACAAGGTGATGGATTTATGATTGATCAAAAGCACTTTACCATATGGCAGTAGTCAATTGAGCAGATTTCCCAATGTTTGTTTTATGGAAAAAGAGGCCAGAGATCATTTTAATGTGAGCCACTTCACCCGGGGGAAGGATGCTCGGGTCACGTGACGCCAGGTCTCCCCTCCGAGGAATGGAGGGACACTGGAGCTGAGCTTTCAGATGAAATTAAATGAAATTATGCTCAACATGCGCAGCTAATATTAAAAACACAAAGCTGAGGAGGTCTGACGTGGTATACTTTAGACCTACTTGTTCTGACGCTGCGCAAAATCAAAGCATCAGAATTTTCTTTCATATTGATTCAGTTTTTGCAGGAAAAAAACCCAAAATAAGCAAAAATTATCTTTTCTCCTTAACATTTGGACACGAGACCTAAATCAAAGCTGCGGTTAAACCGTTTGGGGACAACTGACATTATTTTTGCCAAACCATTTTAATGTCATATCCAAAATTCAAATCAAAACAAAATATACAAAACACAAATCTAAAACTGGGATGAATATATTGGCCCCACACTTCGGACATCCACGTCATTGGGATCTCCAGCTCATAAATGCTGCTGAGGGGTGCGATTGCGCGCATTGTCCTCTCAACCGAGCGGAGTGGACTCCTGGACTTTCCGGGTCATATTAATTGGACTCTCGTCATTGGAACCAGTTACGCACAGATGTGCGGAACAAACACAGATCTGTTAACCTCAGGTTAGTTTCACGATCTTATTTTGCACATTTGTCGATTTTAACGCAGTTCCAAATACTTGTTGCCTTTTGTAGGTGGAAGGAGTGTCAACCAGTTAGGAGGGATGTTTCTTAACGGGAGGCCTCTGCCTGAGCCCAAGAGGAGGAAGGTGATTGAGCTGGCCACGGAGGGAGTTCGTCCGAGTCAGATCTCCAGGATTCTTCGGGTGCGCACAAATCTAAATGGCACAACTTTTAGGCATTGGTAGTATCTTAGGGGAAGCAACAAAATGACATAAACAATCTTTGTAGGTGTCCAATGGGTGTGTCAGTAAGATCCTGAGCCGCTACCGGCGCACAGGACTCATTAAGCCCAAAACTATGGGAGGGAGCCGTCCCCGGCTTCTCACTCCGGGCGTGATCTCCACAATCCTCCGCTGCAAAAATGAAAACCCGAGCATTTTTGCTTGGGAAATCCGCCAACGGCTCGCACTGACACGGATATGCAAATCCACTAAAATCCCCAGCGTAAGTAAGATAGAGCATAGTACATCTGATTAAACGAATCTGATCATTTAACAGCTTTTTTGTTCTGTAAGGTGTCATCCATAAATAGGATTTTGAGACAGATCCACTTGGAGGATGGAGCATCGTGCATGGATGTCAACACGCAAAGAGCTCAGCAGGGTGAGTTTAGCGCGCTTTCCCCTAATAACAACAGGCACATTTTAAATCCTAATGTGTTTGTTTAGGAGAAGGAAGAGGTTTAGAAATCCAGAAATCTAAGGATGCTCAACAGAGAAATCGAACCACCTTCACCCCAGAACAGAGCAGAGCCCTGGAGAAAGGTTTCTAATGCAATCATCAAAAATTCTCACAATGCATCACCTATTTCCTCAGCAATACTAATAAGAAAAACACTTTTTCATGTCCCAAACCAGAATTCTCTCAAAGCAGGTATGCAGATCTATACACAAGAGAGAAGCTGTCTGCAGAGATTCAACTTCCTGAGGACACCATCAAGGTAAAATCCTCACTAGTGCTCCATTTCCTTTCTCTCTTTCTGAGATGTTTTGGTTCTCCTCTGCAGGTTTGGTTTTCAAACAGACGAGCGAAGTGGAGGAGAGAAACCAAGCAGAGAAGCGACACACAGAGTGAGGAAAAAAGTCACAATATCCTCATTTTGAGGAGAAAATACAAATAAGAGACTGTTTTTTAATTAAAAATCATCATTTGGACATTTTCCAACATACCTGTTCCAGATCCAGCATTTCAAGAGCATAACAGTTTTAATTCTTTGAGTTATGTCTTCACAGCCCAACAGGTGGGAATTTTAAAAACCACTCTACAGATAAACATGGTTCTGCTGTTTCAAAAGAAACAATATTAATTTTTATCTTTTGCTTTTACTAATTACAGGAAACAGGAATATTAAGAGAGAACAAGGAAGTCTCCAGTTTGTGCACGCTCCCTGGAAGGTTTCTCAGTATCTCCCAGTTTCAAACACAAACAGGTCAGTTCATCCTTTCCAACAAATAATGCTGATTCACATTAGTCATGCATACAATATCCCTAAAAGTGAAAAGAGAGAAAATGACAAAGAAACTCTTTAAAACTGTATTTGCTTTCCCCAATCTGAAGTCAAATCAACGTGAGATTGAAGAAAAATCTAAATATTCATGAACAAAAAATTGTTTCAGACACACACAGCTGAAATACATAAATAGTTTCAATGACCTTAACATTTTTATTATCGTTTAAAATTCAGTTAAGTTATTCTCAACTATGGGCTTTTTTCTGCTTTTAGATTTTATGTAGATTTAAAAGCTTCAGTAGATATAAAAGTCACACATTCTCTCCTTTTTGGAAAATTATGGGATGTTTTACAGTTAACGCTATTAACAATTTTCAGATTCACTTCATCAGTTGGGATTAGAAATTTTGAAGCCTCTTGTTCATTTTCCTCATTTATTTTGCACAAATTGTTTAAAGAGTAAGTCACCCCCAAATCAACTTTTTTGCTGATAAACTATATAAATGTGTGTCTAATCGTGCTGCAGACACATGTAGTAAATAATTTGGTACTTCAGTGCATCTTAGTTAAAATTTAAATATTCTGCCTGACGGTCAGTGTTGCACCGTCGTCAGGTAAAAACTCTGCACTGTTTTTGAATTTAAATCTGTCACCACTATTGGCTAAGAGGTATTCTGTGATGTAAACTGGTACATTATGATGTCACAATGCCGTTGTGAGCCTGTGTGTGTGTGTGTGTGTATTTGTTAGCGGCTCCGCCCTCTTGGTCTGCTATAGGCAACAGCATTTGTTTGCAGTTTTCAAACATGAAGAGGGAGTGAAGTAAGTTTCTTTTAGGGGGTGACTTGCTCTTTAAAGAGCAAGTCACCCCCAAATAAACATTTTTTTGCTGATAAACTATATAAATGTGTGTCTAATCGTGCTGTAGACACGTGAAGTAAATAATTTGGCACTTCAGTGCATCTTAGTTAAAATTTAAATATTCTGCCTAAAACTGGCAGTGTTGTGCCGTTGTCAGGTAAAAACTCTGCACTGTATTTGAATTTAAATCTGCCACCGCTATTGGCTAGGAGGTATGCTATGATGTAAACTGGTACATTATGATGTCACAATTCTGTTGTGAGCCTGTATGTGTGTGTGTGTGAATTTGTTAGCGGCTCCGCCCTCTCGGTCTGCTAGGCAACTACCGAAGCTAAATTCCTTGTAAATGTAATTTTACTTGCCCAATAAATCTGAAATCTGAACAGCATTTGTTGCATTTTTCAAACAGGAAGTGGGAGTGGAGTAAGAATCTGGTAGGGGGTGACTTGCTCTTTAATTTAATGAAAAAGTCTAAACCATTTAAGAAACATTGAAGAGTAATTGATTAAGACTAATTAAATAAATGTATCAATGTTGCTACTTGAATGTAAATGATAAATAACACCTCTTTGATTTTTGTATAATTTTGTTTTCCGTGCATATCTGAAAGTTTTGTCATTTCCACCTTTAGTTCCCAACCCGCTGAGTGACACGTTGCCACAAAACAGGAACAAGATTCCCAGAGATCCCTTTGGCGATGCGTTCACTTTCCCAGTGATTCAGCATCCCTCTGACACATGGACAGCCTTTTCTTTGCCATCTGAGACCAGAAGCCCCCCCATGCCTCAGCCATGGAGCCAGAAGAGGACCCCTTTTATTTGGAGTCAGTTTGACCCTAAAGAGACGTTTTTGTTTGCTCGGGATGTGAATCTGCAGTGTTACACCGACTGAAAATGAGAGCATTATTCATTTTGTTTGAGCGAGTTGTGACACTTTCTGACCACTAGATAGAGACAAAATACTGACATTGCAATGGGGCCAAAATCTGCAGTCCATTCATTCACAAAAGCTAGAGACAGAACAAGTTTTCATTTCAAGATTTTAATTGTTTGAGATATTTATGTGAATCCAACTTGTAAAACTGACAAAGTTAATTGCTTGGAGTAGTAAATAAAGTCGGATGGATAAGATGCGCCTTTGGTCTTTTAACTGGGATGTTTTATTGGTGTTTCTGATTAAAATGAATGAGCTGTTTTGTGCCAAAGCCTGATTAAACCAGCACAAGCAGACTTTTGCTTGACAGGGAGTAGATTTTAGAGGGTACATGTAGTACTAACACGGAAAATAAAAAGATGGACAAGGAAATGAAAGAAAGACCTCGACTTGTTGCTCTTTCATGTTTCTGGGTGAGTCGTTAGCACTAATCAAAGCTTCATGGATCATTTAAAATGTTGATTTTGTATTTCTGTAGCTGCTGCTGCTTGTTGCAGTGCAGAAAGGAGATGGAGGCCACGTTCCAGGAGTTCTGTCCAGGAGAAACCCATGGGACAATCTATAAAAACACAGCTTCAAAAATCCTAAATCTGATCTGATATCTGCATTGCTCTGTATCACTTTTTATTGCTGCAGCAGGGCAGAGGCACCGGGTTCCTTTACTATGATAGAGAGACAGTAAGACTGAGTGTATTGATAATCGGTCACCGGGGGAAAGATTGGGATCAGGATACAAACAGCTTGGTCAGCCACATGAAAGTGTCCTGTTGACAAAACGACTCTCATCGGAATATACGAGCACGAAGCTGGACGGATGAATGATGTCTCCACCTGACAGCGCTGTCTTCTCTACTGAAGATCACTTGCTGTGCTGCTTTTTACAAAGTGAGGCCAATTTAGGGACTGAGAAGGAAAGTCGCAGCATTTCCAAGTTTTCTTTATATTGAATGTTTTCCTCTCTTGTGGTTTACATTTTTTTATCTTATTCACTTTGAATACATACAGAACATTTTAACTGACTTTAAGTAAAAATATTCTAAACTATTAACACCCTATCTGTTGTAACAAAGGTTAGCTCTGATCAGACAAACTACCGTATTTTCCGGACTATAAGCCACAAATGTTTCCCCCACGCTTTGAACCATGCAGCTTATAATGAGGTGCGGCTTTACTGAAGATTTTCCTTCACCTGCCAGGGGGCGCTTTAGCAGAAAGTGAAACAGGTGGAAGTCAAAAGTGGAAATCGAAGAAAGTGCTTATTTTAATTCAGCACATGCAAGCAGCCGGCACGACGAAGAATTTTTTTCAAATCCATACCCCCTCATCATGGTAACTACACATATGAGTTCATATGATGCCGCATTTAAGTTGAAGGCATCGATCTGGCAGTAAAGGAGGGAAACAGTGCTGTCACATGTAAGCTTGGCATGAATCAATCCATGGTTCAGCGCTGGAGATGGCAGCGGGAAGAACTCATTCAAGCCAGCTTCACCCGGGATGATGACAGCAACACGGACAGCGACACTGACATCACCACAGAAAAGGTATGTGACGAAGCTCTTCTGAGGCTGTTTCAACTCCGACACTGAAGAAGAGGACTTTAATGGCTTTAGTGTGCAAGAGGAAGATGAGAGCGAATGACTTTTTCTGATAGGCAAGTGTTTTATAGGCATGTTTTGTGTGCAGTTTTTATTTTCTAATCATCCAGGGCTTATTAATGCTGTGTCAGCACTGTTCTTTTCTTCTAAACATGCAAATGACCGGTAATAACGTGTCAGTTCTGTTTTTATTTTATAACCATCCAGAAATATGAATGCTATCAGTGCTGTTTTCTTTTCTAAACTTGAAGGCACGTTCACCCGTGTTTAAAATTTGTTTTGTTGAATTAAAACAACAACAAAAAACCTCAGTGTAACGTCTTTCTGTCTAATTATCTTATGTTATGGCCGTACATGTGCTGTGCGCCGGAGACCTGCATGTGGCTGCTGCACCGCGGCTTGTATTTGAGTGAGGTGTGTGTGTGTAGAACACCTTTTTTTTTGTTGGTGCTGCTTATATTGAGGTGTGCTCTATAGTCCAGAAATTACGGTAGTGTCAATCGCTATCAGTCATTAGGCAAGAGGTGGAGGACATCTTGGACAGGTCACCTGCCCATCACAGGGTAACAGAGTCAAACATCTAGTCATGCACACACCCTCAGCTAGGGATAATTTTGGTCTGTGATAGGAAACCAGATTCCCTGGATAAAACCATCGATATATAAATACTGGACAATTCATTTCCATAGGCTCCAATAACACGTTTTTGAGGCCAAATGGGAGGTGGCCACCACCGCCATTTTGACCGTGTCACAGGTTCCGTCAAGCCCAGACAATTCCACAAAAGGGAAGAGAGGTGGAGCTGAGGGTGGGGCTGTAAGGCTGGGATCGACTGACGACACCCGGTCGAACTAGCTACAAGCTAACCTGAAGCTAACCCAAAGCTAATACGGAGGTGGGAGCTAAGCTAATGGAGGTAGCAACCTAGCTACAACCGGAGTTAACTGTGCACAACACCAGAGCTTCTGAGTCAGAGATACGCTGGGCTGACCGCTGGGTAAAACCGGGTGGAACACAGAGGTCTCCGAGACCTCCACAGAGGTCTCGGAGACCTCCACAAGCCGGCAGCCGCACAGCAGACAGCGCCGCTGCGATGTGAGATGCGCAGAGCTGCCGCTGCGGAGAACCAGGGGGAAAGGTTTCCACCCCAGAGCTCCACAAGCCGGCAGCCCGCACAGCACACAGAAGCCGCGATCAGACAGAGATGCGCTGAGCTGCGAGGAGAACCAGCCAGCAGCCTGCGCAGCAGACAGAAGCCGCGATCAGACAGAGATGCGCCGAGCTGCGGGGAGGCGAGAATGGGTGGAAAACAGAGGTCTCCCGAGAGCTCCACAAGCCGATAGTCGGAACCCAGCTCCACCAACATGTTATATTTCAACCCATTTTCTAAAGTGCAGCATTATGTTAAATGCACTGGGTTTTACCCTATTACATTTAAATGTCATGGTTAAACAGTACATGTTAAAATCTAAGCTCAGCTCGGCAGTGACCTAAAATACATAAATATAATTTTACTTACCGAAAAAAATGAAGTGGAGACTCCTTGGATGCTCTATTAGTGCAATTAATGCCACAGCAAGTCATTTTGTCCAACAATTGCACAAATAATATCCAAAAAAGAATACACAAACACAGAGACCTAAAATCCCGGAACAATTTCCAAGCCAGACCGAGGCTCTACTGAGGCCTTTCCACGGAGCTAGCTCTGTGGTCACGTGGGCCTGATGCTCATTAATTATACAGAATTTTAGGCTTTTAATACACTTAAACAGAAGAGTGAGAATAAAATTCACCCCCCTCAGAGTTGTCATGAGTGTAAACTAGATGATTTAAATGAAAAACATGTTTTGGTACCAGACTGTAAACATGTTTATTTCTGCTGTGAAATTGGTATTTTAACATGGGAGTCAATGAGGATTTGCTCGCTTCTGACACCAGCCCCCAGCGGATGAGGGTGGAACTGCAATTGTTGGTACTTCCGGGTTGGGCTCAATTTTTGAGCCGCATTGTGGGGGCTTGGATAAAACCCACGCATGCATGGGAGGAAAACACAAACTCCCACCCAGCAAGAATTGAACCTATGACCTTCGTTGTCGTCATCGTCTTCGTCTTCCTTCACTTATCCGGGTCCGGGTCGCGGGGGCAGCATCCCAACTAGGGAGCTCCAGACCGTCCTCCCTGGCCACCTCCACCAGTTCCTCCAGCAGGACCCCAAGGCGTTCCCGGACCAGATTTGAGATGTAACCTCTCCAACGTGTCCTGGGTCGACCCGGGGCCTCCTGCCGGCAGGATATGCCCGAAACACCTCCCCATGGAGGTGTCCAGGAGGCATCCTGACTAGATGCCCAAACCACCTCAACTGACTCCTTTCAATCCAGAGAAGCAGCGGTTCTACTCCGAGTCCCTCCCGAATGTCCGAGCTCCTCACCCTATCTCTAAGGCTGAGCCCGGCCACCCTACGGAGGAAACTCATTTTGGCCACTTGTATCCGCGTTCTCGTTCTTTCGGTCATTACTCAAAGCTCATGACCACAGGTGAGGACTGGGACGTAGATCGACCGGTAAATTGAGAGCCTGGCTTTCTGGCTCAGCTCCCTCTTCACCACGACAGGTCGGATCAACGCCCGCATCACTGCAGATGCTGAACCAAACCACCTGTCGATCTCCCGATCCCTCCTACCCTCACTCATGAACAAGACCCCAAGATACTTAAACTCCTCCACTTGAGGTAGGACCTCTCTCCCGACCCGGAGTTGGTAAGCCACCCTTTTCCGGTGGAGAACCATGGTCTCAGATTTGGAGGTGCTGATCCTCATCCCAGCCGCTTCACACTCGGCCGCGAACCTACCCAGCAAGAGCTGAAGGTCAGAGCTGGATGAAGCTAGGAGGACCACATCCTCTGCAAAAAGCAGAGACGAGATTCTCCTGCCACCAAACTCAACACACTCCACACCATGGCTGCGCCTAGAATTTCTGTCCATAAAGGTTATGAACAGAACCGGTGACAAAGGGCAGCCCTGGCGGAGTCCAAACCTCACCGGGAACAGGTCCGACTTCCTACCGGCTATGCGGACCAAACTCACGCTCCTCTGGTAAAGGAACTGAATGGCCCTTAACAGAAAGCCATCCAACCCATACTCCTGGAGCGTCCCCCACAGGGTGCCCCTGGGGACACGGTCATAAGCCTTCTCCAAATCCACAAAACACATGTGGATTGGTTGGGCAAACTCCCATGCCGACTCCATCACCATTGCAAGGGTATAGAGCTGGTCCACAGTTCCACGGCCAGGATGAAAACCACATTGCTCCTCCTCAATCTGAGATTCAACTATCGATCAGACCCTCCTCTCCAGTACCTTGGAGTAGACCTTTCCAGGGAGGCTGAGGGGTGTGATCCCCCTATAGTTGGAACACACCTTCAGATCACCCTTCTTAAAGATGGGGACCACCACCCCGGTCTGCCAATCCACAGGAACTGCCCCCGATGACCATGCAATGTTGCAGAGACGTGTCAACCATGACAGCCCTACAACATCCATAGCCTTGAGATACCCAGGATGAATCTCAACTGCCCCCGGGGCTCCGCCGCTGTGTAGTTGTTT